GGACTCCTGACGTGGGCAGGGGGTTAGACTAGTTGACGTCTAAGATCCCTTCCAGTCCTATGATTGTAAGATTCTAGATGAGCAAGAGCTTTTGTAATCTACATCGTGAACCTCACTTACAAACTTTACAAATGCCAATAGCCTCATCTCCATAAATGTCCATGCTGAAAACCATGTCTTTCATCCATGAATTCAAGGATGGAAGTTGGTCATGTTCCCCTTAAATCAGTAGTGGGATTCAAATATGTGAACAACCGGTTCTCTGTGTGGATGCTGCTTCTGGAAATCCATTCTGGGCCTGGGCAACAAAAAATTAGCTACCAGTTCTGCCGAAGTGATGTGAACTGGCTGAATCCCTTCAGGATTCAATCCCTTCAATCCTTCAGCCTTCCTGGACAACCTCAAGATCTCATGATGAGGAAGTGGGAAATATATTTCTATTTATTTTTCCATGCCATGCATATAACACCCCCCCAGAGGCATAGCTAAATGTCTGTGGAGAATCTCAGTCATCCAGGTCATGGTTGTCCCAAAGGTGCTTTTTCAAGAGGCAACCGGAGTTCCTTTGTTTTTCCTTGAAGACATTTCGCTTCTCATCCAAGAAGCTTCTTCAGTTCAGTTGAAAAAGCACCTTTGGGACAATCCCCCTTAAGCTACAAAACCCTCAATAAAAGATACCATGCCTAGACATTTTCTTCTCTTTATACAACCAGGACGTCCTTCCTGCCATCCACGTTAAGACGGCCCAGCAGATTTCATTCAAACGTGGATCAGAACGGAACTATCTTCATGTTCCAAGGGCCTTCAGATCAGACCTCTGGGGAAGCCTTATTCTTGAACTCGTCATCTGCGCTTGTATGTGTGAAGAGTGCTGTCTCTTACCCCAGGAATTTGTCCTCCGGGCATCATGGGATTGCCCTGGGCTAGGTGACTTGATCTGGAGGACAGGGACGTTTGCAAGGAGTCACTGAGGTCTTCTGTTTTAATCTGCAAGGGGGAGCAAAAGGAACGATAATGTCAGCAACATTTTTGAACCTATCTGAAAAGCACCAAGTTGGAGAAGGCTATGTGGTAGCTTCAACTGACTTGCTGTGGGGTTCAGTCTACTCAAAGTGATTGGATAGCTCTAAATTTCTAAATTTTTAAAACAGAAAATTTCTAAATTTCTAAAACAGAAAAAAAAACCTCCAGGGAAGAGAGACTTAATGTCTATATTTTCATGGAGATCTCATTTCCCCCCACCCCCAGACTGATTTCTAAAGAAATATTTGAACATTGACTCAAGGGATTCCCAACCAACTCTTTTCACAGAACCCCTCTCCTTATGAGATACATCAGATACCATTTATTTGTGTCTTAAAAAAATATCAATTCCAATATTTTGCTTCTTAAGCTAAGCTTCAGTTAGTAGACCGCTTGCAATCCTGACTTCGAAGTAATATCCTGTCCATCAGGATGTCCTCCCACCAATTACATAAATAGTCACAATATTTGAGTAATGACATGCCGATGCACAAAAGAGCATCATACTGTAGCTTGTGCCAGACAGGTCTGTATAAGCCACTTGGTATAATCTCTTTGGAAACAAAGTCAAATGTTTGTTTAATGACGTCTGCATTGATCAACAGAGGAAGGAAAAGATGTCATCCAAATATCTGAGCGGCCTCAAGAAGTTGTGGATGCTCCAACACTGGAGGTTTTTAAAGAAGAGATGAACAACCAGTTGTCTGGAATGGTACAGGGATTCCTCCTTGAGCAGAGGTTGGACTAGAAGACCTCCAAGGTCCCTTCCAACTCTCGGTTATTTTGTTATTCTGAGTTAAGTTGGGCCCAGATTCATGACCCAAAGACAAATCAAACTTCTTCCCATGTCCCCAAAACACATTTTATGGAATATTTGCACACAGAAACCATCCCCTAGGCCAGGGGTGGGGAACCTTGGCTCTTTTATGGCTTGTAGACTTCAACTCCCTGAATTCCTGAGCCAGCCATGCTGGCTCAGGAATTCTGGGAGTTGAAGTCCACAAGTCATAAAAGAGCCAAGGTTCCCCACCCTTGCCCTAGGCATTCAGTCGGTCTATCCTTGATACTGGATGACTATGACTAATGATCCTTGAACGATAGATGGAGAACCAAGCTAAACTGGAACCACAAACTGTTTATGTAGAACAAGAAGATTGGTGCAGTTTTTCAGACTTGGTTTCTTCAACCATTCTCCTTCCGTCTTACACGTTTTTCTTGGAAGAAACCATACAGCTAAAAGTTTACTCCTTCCAGATTCCTCTGGAGAAGGAAAAGAACAACCAACATGATCAGAACTTGTCTCTATCCCAGGGGTCTTCCAACTTGGCCCTTTTATGACTTGTGGACTTCAACTCCCAGAATTCCTCAGGCAGGCACGCTGGCTGAGGAATTCTGGGAGTTGAAGTCCACAAGTCATAAAAGGGCCAAGTTTGAAGACCCCTGCTCTATCCCATAAGGGAGCAAGTTGTCTCCATGTAGTATTGTGGAAGAGAAGCTACTTCAAACCCCTTTGACCTATTCTAGCCTGGTTGAAGATGGATGACACAAAGGAGGACAGAAGTTAATCTCCTGTGGCAAAACCTTGGCTCAGATGTTTGCGGTGCTTTAAAGAATGAAAAGAACAAAGCAGTTATAAATTGGTGAGCCTTTAAGATGCCATCAAGCTATTTTCTCTGTTTGTTTGGCTCATAACATTTTCCCCTGTCATTCTACCTAAGCATATGGTGCTCAAGGCAGCTGGCAATGAAGCCAAAGGCAGAACAGGCAAGTTGAAAGCCCAATTAAACAATCATCCACTTAAAACCTAAAACAATAATTATACAATAAAACCATCATCAAAACCACCTAAAAGGGTAAATTGCAAGGATTGCACCTTGGTATCCTCTCGGAAGGTGTGGCCTGATCAAGCTTGGAAAAAAAAATAATGTTTTCCACCAACCTCCCTGCATCCCAATTCTTACTTTTTCTTTCTAATTTGTCTTTGAAGTTTGCTGAGATGCCCTTCTACAAGGTTTGCCGGGAAAAGAGGAATTAAATTAAATGAAACAATTAAAAATAGAAGATGTTTGTTTCCGGAAGAGATGGAATTCTGTCTATGTCAATCATTTTCAGCTTGTAGAACTCGATGGGAGGAAAAAAAAAGAGAGATAAATTATCTCCATCATGGAAATTAAGTTGGAAACAGCTGATAGAATGTATTCCAAGTTGCTGGAGCTGTTACAGGTGATCCTCAATTTACAACCCTTTTTTGGTGACTGTTTGAAGCAGGAGTCTTCCAACTTGGCCCTTTTATGACTTGTGGACTTCAACTCCCAGAATTCCTCAGCGAGGCACGCTGGCTGAGGAATTCTGGGAGTTGAAGTCCGCAAGTCATAAAAGGGCCAAGTTGGAAGACCCCTAGTTTGAAGTTACAGTGGCATTAGAAAAAAATGAATTATGACTGGTCCTCATATTTATGACCATTGCAACATCCCCATGGCCATGTGATCCAAATTCGGGCATTTGCAACCAGTATGTATTTATGACACTTTCCCTGTTCCGGGATCATGTGATCCCCATTTGGGA